GCGTGAGTGTGGTTGAGTCTCATGCCTGGCCTGGCGCCTCATTCATTGCAGATTGTTCATGACACTGGCCCTGCAGGACCACCATCGACACGCTTCGTGAAGGTCGCCGGAACCCGATTGCGAAGCACGTGGATGAATCAATGAGGTCGGGAGAAGTGTACGACCTCGGTAGCTGCCTTTGCTGTCGTCAATTGTGCATCGAGAGCAGGTGATGAATAAATTCCATTCACCTGCCAGATCGATCGGCGTAACCGACTGACCGATTGAATTTGCAAAGTGTTCGCGTCAATATCCGGTGGCCATTTCGCAATCCTGGAGTCAAGTCTGCAATCGCATCCAAGTCTGGTCAGATCTGGCGTCGATCTATGGTCGGAGTCAGAAAACATTTGGTAGCTCCGTAATTGGTTTCACAGTCGGGATTTTCTGCAGTTGGCCGATTTTGGTCGAAGTATCGCAGAAAGGGACGAAACTGTCTAGAGAGAATCGTAGTATCAAAACAGGAATCGTCATGTCTATGAGCAATGGGGAGTCGAAGCCGCATTTCGCTTCGTGAAAACGCGGACTGGGAGATCGAGCAGATACCGACATGGAAACGGAGAAGACCAGTCCTGCAATCAAGAAATTCCCGAACCCAGTGCAAAATCTAGCGGGGGCACGTCATGGGCTCGGGCAATACGGTGGGGTGAATGGGGCGATCGAGGCATCCTCGACGTTTGCCATCATATTGCCCCAGAGACTGAATAAGCTGTTTTCGGGAGAGCTCGGCACCGACCAAGGACTGTACCTGTACAGCCGTCACTTCAATCCGACAATGCGAAGCTTGGGCCGCAAAATGGCGGTCGACGAGGACATGGAGGCCGCGTATTGCACCATGAGCGGCATGTCCGCCATAGCGTCTTTCATGCTTCAGCTTTGCAGCAGCGGGGATCAGGTCGTGGTGTCAAACCATCTCTTCGGAGGCACGCATGCGTTGCTGGCGCATTTTCTCCCTCGTATTTTCAACATCTGGGCAACCTTCATAGATGTTAACGACTTGGAGGCCATGCAGGGTGCCGTGCAGCCAAATTCGAAGGTGCTCTACTTTGAATCGTTGTCGAATCCGCTGCTGTTTGTGGCAAACATTCCAGTGCTAGCGCATCTGGCACAGTCGGGGCTTGACGGTAGTTGTGGATAACACATTCGCGCCTCTGCTGCTCTCTCCAGCTAGATCAGGCACCGTCGTAGTCGTGCACAGTTTGTCGAAGTACATTAGCGGCGCGGGGCTTATCATCGCGGGAGCGGTGTACGGTCCAGTTGAGCTAATCAGCTCAATGATGGACCTGCACCATGGTCCACTCATGCTTTTGGGCCCGACGGTGGATCCTCATGCCGCATTCCAGGTTAGCCTTCGCAACCCGCACCTCTCGATTCGGATGAGGGAGTTTGAAATTCGTGCTTTACTCTATGCCAAGCGTTTGAAGGAGCTGGGATTGAAGGCAATCTACCTTGGACTGCCGAACCACCCTCAGCACGCGCTAACGACGAAGCTCTTGAATGACTGCCACGACTGTGGCGGTATGGTGTGCTTGTATTTGGACACCAAAGAGACCGCGCAGAATTTAATGCGATATTTGCAGAATGGTGCCCATTTCGGTTGGATAGCGGTGAGTTTGGATTACCATGACACGCTCACGTCGAGCTAGGCATCGAGCACGAGTTCGGGGTTGACGAATGAGGGAAAATCTGCTTCAGATATTTCCCTAGGGCTTGTGCGCATGTCGATTGGGTTCACGGGGTCGACCGAGCAACGATGGGGGGAGCTTCTGGATGATTTAGTTGCTCATAATCTGATCCCAAGTCTAACTGTAGACTAGAGTGTGCTGTGAATTAGAGCCATAAATAACTTGTGCGCGAGCTAAAGGTAATGCATGACCTCAAAGGTGGTTGCACTGCTCGTTGTCTTTCATGTGTAGCTTTTCTTGGAGCTAGTCTTCGACATCCTCAACCGCTCGTGTTAACCGATATGGTGAGTCTTTGAAACTACGGCATTTCTTTCTTCTTTGCTTCCAGCCTCAGTATTCCATACCTTTTAAGTTGGGATGCCATACAGCAATTATTCATGGGTACTGACTGGTTCTAACTTTCGTCGTCATTCAGATCTATTCCCAGCAAGGGTGTGATGGAGATCCTCCACTAAAGGATTTTAATGCTTGCTGTGCAAGCCCTGGTTGTAGAGAGCGCCAACATCAACGATGAGTGCGGTGGTTTCAGTGGCGACCTCGTGGATTCCAGACAATACCAGAACCTAATATATGGTTATTCAGATCTGCACGTTGTGTTATGTAAATTAGGGTCCTCTTGATAGGACATGTGGCCGTAAGTATCTACAGTTGGTGCAGGAAGGCGATCGGAATCCATAGCTGGAGCAGTAACAGACTCAGAATCAGCATGTAACGGTTGAAGCTTCTTGGCAGCACTAACTAGAGTGCCGCTTCGTCCACATTACCATTCCATTGTCTACATGGTGTTGATCCCGAGTGCCATCCTTCACCATGAATTACCGCATCACCCAAGAAAAACCACTGCATCAGCCACAACATCGTTGAAGCCACGAATCTACTCCCGTGACTTATCAGTTCTGCGCTCAAAACCCATTCAATAATGAAACCTGAACCCACTCGTGGGTGTCCTGGCAACCAGCGCCACATGATAGGCCGCTGCTGTCAAATCACAGTCAAACAGTTTTATCTCCACCACGTATAGGTCAAGGAATGCTTGCAGACAGAGCAGACTTTCCAAAGGGAGCCTGGATACTCAACACCCAGCTATCCACACAGAAACATGTGGAGAAGCGTGCACTGCACTGCAAAGACAGAGCTCATGAAGATGTTAACTTCCTGCCTCAGATCAACGCTGGGCAACAGAGCTCGACCCACTACTCGACGAATACTACCAAGAGCTGCAACAACTACAAAATAGAAGCAGCAAGGGCAGAAAGGAGTTGGGGCAAAAAACCCTTCCTGACAACCACTCTGCAGCACAAAGCATTGCAGAATCTGACTCAGGTGTAGGGCTTAGGTGGGTGTGTGTGTGATATGATTATTTATAGGTATGATTATTTGTGATTTGATTTAAAGTTGAATTTATAACCTCCAAAAAAATGCATAAGGTGTTTAGGAACAACTTTTTGGTAATTTTAAACAACTTAAATAAGCTTCTAATTATGCTAAGTCCATCTTATCAACTTTTTTAAAATCCTAAAAATATCTTATCATACTCTAATCAGCTTCAAATAAATCTTAACAATCTTTAATAAGCTTAACTAATTCCTAAAGATTTGGTAATCAACCAAATGAAATCCTGAAGAAATCATTAAATAATCATAAAAAAATCACAAATAATCATAAAGAGACCTTAAAAAAATACTTAGCAAATCCTAGCCAATTTCAAAAAAATCGTAAGTAAATCCCAATTAAAACTTAATCAAATCCTTAGTAAGTAAAAAAATAAAAATAGAAATAAAAAAATTGAATCAAACCTTAAGTATTGATCTAAGGTTTTTCTTATTTCAATTTTTCTAAAAGCTACTCTTTACTTTTACTTAAAAATTCCAATAATATTATTTTTGTTAACCTACTTTATTCCATCTTGTTTATGACCCTACAAAATAATTAGAAGTCTTTTAATAAAAAGATAACATTCATGCTAAATTATTTTTACCACTTCCCTAAGTTTTACATATATTTTCTAAAATAATATTTTACTATAATTTAAATTAAGCTCTTATATATATATATATATATATATATTTCTTCTTCTACCCAATAGCCATATGACAACAAAAAAAGAAGAAAAAATCTAATTTTAAGATTAGTAAATATATTTTCATTTTAAGGCTGAATACTATTTAAATTTTTTATTTTTGTGTGTGTAAATCAATAAATTCTACAAATATATAATTAGATTTTATAAAAACATTATATGAAAAAAAAATTATAAGTTGTTATATTTGTTTCATAAAATTTATGTAATTTAATATTTGAAGTATCAATACATATTTCAAGAAACTTATATATTATAATTTGATACAAAATATAATCATATTTACATAATTTTATTTTAAAAAAATAAAATTATTTTATTTAGAAATAAAATTATTTTATTTAGAAATAAAATTATTTTATTTAGAAATAAAAATTTAAATTATACATAGTTTTATTTTATATCTTATTATTGCTATTTAACTCAATTTTTTTTATTAGATGACAATGCTCTATTTACATATTACAACATTGTTTTAAATGTACTATGTTACCTATGCAATATAAATTAAAATTTTACCCACATTAATTTTTGTGTAGTTTAAATTAAATAGATAATTATTCATTAATTTTTATTTTTAAAATCAATTTTAAAAAATAAAATTTTTCTAAACATATAATATTTAGCAATCATATAATAGAAAGTTTATATGTATTTTGATAAAGATCATATTTAATATTTAATATTTAATTCAAAAGAATAATGTGGTCCAAATTCAAATTTTGGTACAATATTTCACGTTTTAATTTTATTTATTTATTAATAGTCAATAAATTTTGGATACCATTTATCTTACTTATGACAAAGGACCTTTGGATGGAGCCTATTTCTAATTATTCTAAAGTTTATATTTCTTTTACAGATGAGTAATAGGTTTCTTTTAATTAAATAATTAAAAAATATCATTCTCTTAAATTATAGTTTATAGCTGTAAACACTACAAGATTGTCTGTCTACCATCAATTCCATGTGCTCAAGATCCAATCAATTTTCTTTTTGTGTTGAAATGGTTAAATATTAAGAAGAATTAAATTGAATGGGAAGAACAAAGTAACATGTAATTCACATAATGTATATTTTTATACTATTCAAAATTTTGTGGTTGTTAGAATCTTTTAATTTAGTTTACAGTATGTATGTGACCAACTGTTTCTTTTTGGTCCACAACTGCTTTAAACCTAAATCTTAAAATATACTTTTTTTTTCTTATTATGATTTTCTTAATAAATATAATGAAATTTAACTGGATTCTCAATTATAAAATACTATCATAACTTGTTAATAATTAAATAGGTTAAGCTTTCTTCAATCTAGGGTTTTCAAATTCTCACCTAGTGTCCAAGCCTGAGCAATGTGATGTCAAGGAATTGGTTGCTTTTAACATTTATCTACAGATACTCTCAAAGCCAGTAATGTTTTTTCTATATCATTTCACCTATTGTCTCAAACATTTCTTGCTTTTATTGCACAAATTTGCCACTACAGTCACCATAATTTGGGATCTGTATAACAGTTTAACATGTCATTCTCCAAGTTGCATAATTTTTTTTAAGAGTCTGATTTGAAGATTTCAATTTGAAATGCTTTAGTGCACTTCAATGGAGCCATCAAGAGAAAGGATTCTGAAGAAAATAGATAACCCCCAATTGCTAAACAGAGCTGCCCCAAACCTGCATGTTAATAGGCAGCATGAGATGCCAAAATTGAGGAAGAAAAGCACAGGTGCTCCAGCATCAACTGTTAAATACAAGTCATATGGAGACCCTTGTCCCAATGTATTCAAGGTAAGAATGAAAAGTCAAGGAATATTTCTCTCTATATACAGATATGCATATAACTCCAATTTTCACATGGAAGGTTGAATTGGGTTCATGAAAGCAAATTGTCTATCAGCAACTCATATTTTAACCATGATTTTAACAATCTGTACTTTTTGTTTGGTTCCATGTTTTGAGCTTATTTTTCATCATATATATGCACATATACATGCACACAAAATCAATCATAGTAAATATAACTTTAGTTCAGAAAATGATTTTGATGAAATTGCATTATGCATGACTTGCAGAGAAAACCAAGTGAAGTTGTAGAAGCAAAATTGCATCCACAGGTGTCATATGGTGATGGCTCTATCAGGACAAAGCCTCACATCATTGAGCATCATAATTTTTGCGACAAAAAGTATTTGGTAACTGTTTAACAAATGTTTTTAATTCAGAATATTATTGTGCTCCAATGATTTGCTGAAAAAGCATTGCAGAGCCAAATTAGAAGATTAGCTGGATCATGTTGCTTTGGTTTTTGATGCTGATAGGAATCATCTTTTGTGAAGAAAGATTGCCCCCTGTTTCAACCATTTCCACCTGAGATTGTGTTTAGAAACTTCAAGCCTTTCCAGCAATATTCACAAGTTTTCAACCTCCGGAACAATGACAAGGTTCTTGTTTTCATTCCTTCAAAGATTCAATTCAAATTACATACATGCACACAAAGATACACACACACACACACACACATATATATATATATATATATATATATACATGCATAGGAATTGTTTAAAAAACTCAATTAGATTAATTTTTTGCATTAACCTCAAATTTTTGAGAATTTTTAGTTCAGTCTTTAATCAACCTTTGTGATAGATTGCTTATTAAACCCTAATTTTTTCACTAAGCACAAAGTAAAACCTTGTCCATAGATACAAAGATTTTCAGAGTCGAACCCTAAAACTTGTGTTTTGGAATTGTAGATGGCAAGGCGGGTTCAAGTGTTACCACTTCTATCTGGGTACCTCAATGTGCAGTTGTATACACCTGTTGATAACAATGATCTTAGCATATTTGATGAACAAGGCACAAGCAAAGTTGCACCTGGAATGGAGGTATTCTACCAACTTACAAAACCCTACAAATATTAATTGCAATAAATAATCCAGAACTTTGAATTATAATTTTGATTGTTGATGTGGTTTAACCTAATAATTGGCACAATTTGAGTACAATATATGTAATAATGTATACATGTGTGTGTGTATATATATATATATATTTAAAAGTTTGCAATAAATGAAATTTATATCACTTGAAAATCGTTTAGATGCTTGTGTATGAATGTACTTAAGATTAGATTGATTTGAAAGTTGTGATTAATTATGATTTTCAAACAATGCAACAGATGCAATTCATTGTTAATTTTTGCCCTGAGAATGAAGATGACCAAGAAGCCTCTATAGTGGTGGTCACTGAACGCGAAAAATTTGAGGTGCCTGTGATTTGCCATGGAGCTCGAGGTACAACAGAATTGTGCCTTGAGAAAATTCTAATTATAATAAAAATAAATAAACATTAAACTGTGTTCAAATTTCTTTATTTCTTTTTACTTTAAAGAATAATTAAAGAAAAATCAAGTAAATTCATGATGTGAAGATGTATCATGATAAAAGAGCTGAACTATTCAATTTATGTGAAAATCTACAAAAATTTATAAATTGATATTTTGAAAAACTTCAATGCATAGAATACTCTTTAAGTTTGATATTTTTCACTTTTTTAATGTAAAATTTTATTTACTTATCTACTTGTAAGGAAGAACAAGGTGAATGTTCCACATCTTGTAACTTTGTGGTAATCAAACCTTGCAAAATTAGAGCAAAACTTTTCAGTAGTATGTTTTAAGCATTGAATTGGTGTTTGGCCATGTGGGTATGGGAATAGCAATATTGGACCTTCCCGATGAAATTTATTTTCCACAAACTCCTGCTCATCTAGTATACACCAAAAATGTTATGCTCCGCAACTTGGGCACCAAATCAGCGGAGTTTACATTACAAGTAAATGGGTACTTTGCTGTTTTTCCAACAAGAGGTGTCATAGAACCTGAGAACTTTTTAGAAGTTTATGTTCAATTTCGACCACTGTTGGTGGGAGCTCATGAAGGAGAGCTTATAGTTGCTTACAATCGCAACATTGAAAGAATGTATTGCAAACTTTATGGTATGGGTTTGGAGGTAACCATTCTCTTCCCCTCTTCTTCACAATAGCAATTGTAGTGAAGCTTGGATTTCTCTGAAGCATTGGATTTTGTAATGCATTCATATGTTTCCATGCACAGTATTTAGGGTTTTGTTACTAGTATTAGTATGTGGTGGGTCTAAAATGTTTCATTAGATCAGAGTCATGTAAAGTCAACTTTTAAAAATAAGCTTGCATATACTCAACGTGAATGAGTATTTGATATATAACAACTTATGGTGTCTAATGTATTTTTTTTTCTTTTTAATTATTTAATTTTATTATTATCATTGTTGTTATTATTGAACACAATTCTGGTGTTGTAATCTAACAAGTATTCTCAATGGGGCTTAGTTGGATGTGGGAATATCTGCAGATACTGCAATAGCAGTGCCCACATATGTGGGGAGAAAATCACAAATGGTGATACATGTGCAAAACTACTCCTCCACAGTTGCATACTTCCTTTGGGAGAAGTAAGGCACCCTAAATTCATCACTCCAAGTGCTTTGTTTTCATGAAGAAATTACTGATTAAATTCTACAATTATCACTCTCTATAATGTAAAAAAAATAAAAAGAAAAAGAAACATTGTTTATTTATTTAGTTGGTTAGCTATTTCTTAATAAAGTGAGAAAAAAATATTTATTATTCATACATGTAATTCAATTATTCCAACATTTTTATTATTACTTGTAATTTTCCATCAGTTGTCTATCCATCAGATTTCATTATATATCACACGTTTCTAACTTTTACTATTTACTATTTACATTTTTATTTTTATTTTAATTCTCTATCAACAGACAGATAGATTACTGTATAACTACAACTTATAACAGAATAATTCAATCATTCAAAAACAGAATTGTTTCTCAAATATCATCTATTTGAAGGAGCATCTCAAAAAAAAAAAAAAAAAAAAAAAAATCTTTTTTTAATCATTCTTTTTATATTTTCATCTTGCATGAAAATGTCCACAAAGACTAAAAAAAAAGCGTTTGTAGTAGACTTGGCAATTATGTATTTTAAACAACATATACATAGTGAAAAAAAAAAGGAGGAAAAGAGGGTTGTGGATCAGTTATTTTAGAAAGAGTGTTAAGCAGAAACACATAATATCAAAATGTTCAATGACTGAATATGGCAGGTTTCTCATGAACGGGCTTGGCCAGATTTGCAACTGAGAATGAAGATGCGGCCTATTTAGTATCAGTGACAACTTCAGACAAGGGTTGTAGTCAAGGACGAGATCTGTTCACTCACGACAAATATGCTGATTCCAATGGCAGCACCACACCTGAGAGACCAGTCTCTGCAACCCACAGTGATGAAAACGATGGCATCCAAACTGTATATCATGCTTACAATTCTATATATATATATATATATATATTTAAAGCAATACAAAAAAATGTTGCAAATTAGAGAAAATATTGTGATTTTGAATATATATACAAGGGAATGTTAAATAGACACAAGTTTTTACTAAATTGACTCACCCATCCTAACCATAAAAAAATCAAAAATCAAAAACAAAACAAAACAAAATCAAAATGACCTCTAGATTCATTTCTCCACAATTGGATCTGCAATTAATAAAACCAACCATATTCATCATGATTACCATATTCTTCATCAAGAATGAGTCTATATAGTAAAAACATGGGTCTATTAGCATTTCCTTTATATATATATATATATATATATAGCCACATACTTAACAGTGTTTGGCATGTCATTTGTAGGCTTTTGCATTGAGTCCCGGGCATGGAGAATGTTGGCCAAATAGTCGAACAGAGATCACTATCACATTCATGCCTCCACGTGCTCACAAGTAGCAGCTGCACTTCCCATTATCACAATAAAAAATAATAGTAAAGAATTATTGTTATTGTTGTTACTACCATTATTTCAAACTAAGGATTTTGTTTTTGTTTTGTTAAGAAATGTTTGCTGATTTGAGTGGTAATAGGTGCATGTAGAAACTATCAAATTAGAAATAAATAACTAAATAATGGTCACATCATCAATGTGCTATTGTTTTGTGTAGATACTATTGCAAGGCTTATTGCAAAATTTCTGGAAAGTCTGAAAAATTAGTGGTTCATTTGGAAGGATGTGGGATTGGGCCTATAGCACAATTTTTCCCATGCAAGCTGGACCTACAAGAACTCCATCTTTTTGCTACATATGAATATGAAATACAACTCAAGAACTTAGGAGAAATGGAAGTGGGTGCTCCTTTTTTATTGGTTTTGTTTTTAATACATGATATAAGAAAAAATACCCACTTATTATACATAACAGGAAAAAATGTACTCAAAAATATATTTCAGATCTTCAAAACATAGAAATATATATATATATATATATATAACTTGGTAATATTTGTTTTTATATGTGTATTTCCAAAACAAATGCAGGCAAATTTTCAACTTTGTTGCACAGATACAAAGGAGGTGTGTTTTCAATTTACATTGGCGGAAGGGCTTGTTCCAATAAACAAAGCATGCCCCATCAAAGTGAAATGCTTTACACAATTACGTGGGAGTTTTGAAAACAAGTTTGTATGGAGTGTTGATGGTGCTCAATACAACCCTACTTTACATTTCCGAGGGTGTGTTGGAAATCCTTTGATACACATCAATGTAGAAGAAATTGACTTTGGTGTTATTGGATTAAGTTTTTGCTCCAAATCCACTTTTAAAATCTCCAATTGTAGTGAAGCTTTACTACACTTCAGATTACACATTGTGCAAGATGATGACAGGAATGGGTTTATGATATCAGAAGAATTTCACGATATCCAAGCTCAAGTAAGATCCGATTTCTATAATTAATTTGTCAAATAAACTAATAAGTAATATTTTCAATTCTTTATAAATGTATAGTTCTAAGAATACATAAACAAAGGTTTGAGTTTACACTTGTGTAATTCTTTCTCTCTTTTCTCCAATTGGTCTCAAGATATTAAACTATTTTGTTTCAATTTTCAATTGTAGACATCAAAGCTGGTGACTGTGTCTTTAAGTCCCACTGCTGTTCAAAATTATGTGGGATCATTACACATATTTTTGTCTGAAATTAATGAAGTGTACAAGATCATCAGTTTATCAGCAAAAGCTATAGTTGCAAAAGTACATCAGCATCTCCTAGTTTACACAATTCTCAAACATGGCTATTTGATTTTGATTTTGATTTTGATTTTTCCTGCTATTTTAGTTTGATTGAACAAATGATTGGTTTGTATGTATATATGAAGAAATAAAGAATACAAACTAGTAGATGTGTTTCATTTACACTTTTTTCTTTTTTTTTGTATTAAAAAATATTTTTGGTAGTAAGAGTTTGAAACTAATGCACCTAGTGTGTCCAAAATGATCAAGCAGTTGGTACCAAATGACGATTACATTGATTTTGGAACATGCTTCATACAATACAACTATGTCAAAACGTGTGAGATCATCAATGATTCAGATGTAATGGGAACATTTGCCATTGACTTGCAAGACCCACAAACCCAGATCCTTGCCAAACTTACAGCAAAGGATGTTGAAAATGTTGTTGTGCCCGGAAAATCGTCCACCTCAATTGAATTCATGCTTGCCACACGTGTTCTGGGTGAAATCTCATTTGCGACCACAATTATTTGTAATCCGGGCAGTGGAATTTATGAACAAAGAATTCCTATCCGCATTGAAGCTTTATCCATAGGTTATTCTATTTTTATTTAAATGAATGAATGAATATAATAATAATAATAATAATAATAGTAATAATAATCATCACAACAATAACAATAAATAATATTGATGTTGGTAATAATGTGAAGCTATGCAAGTGTATGGATATATAAATATAAATTGAGGAATTGAGGAGGATTTTGCATCTTTAAAAATAAAGATTTGGACATTTTGGTGCTTACAAAGTTCATTTGAAAACGTATACAAGATGTTGAGATTTCATGAATAAAGATTGTGTAATAAATGAACAGGTCCAATATTGAAATTGGAGCAGAGTGGATGGGATGCTCCATCAAGATTGATCCCAGGCCGAGATTGCATTGAGGATGACCAAAAATGGCCACTGACTTTGGACTTTGGCCGCATTCCTGTGCTTGAAAATCATACACAAAGCTTTGTCATTAGAAACATGTGTTGTATCCCCGCTTCCTTCAATTTAGAAAACAAAGTTTACATTTTCAAATTGGATACTTTGAAAGCCACAATTGCACCATTTGACTCTCTAGAAGTCAGAGTAAGTTTCAAACCATGGCATTGTAACAATATTACAAATGTGTCCATAAATCTGAACAATCATTCAAATATATATATATATATATATATATAACAACAATTCTTTTTGCCCAAGCATCAGGAGTATCTAATTATTTTTTCAAAAAATAAACTAAATTGAACAGCATAACATGGTTTGTGAAATGCATGAGAGTTTATCAGGTAATTGCTTGTCTTGACGATACAAGGAGATTTGTTGACAAGGTTTCAATCACTGTAGAAGAAGGAGGCCAATATTTTGTGACTTTGATAGGAATTGGTCTTGGCTCTACACTTACATCTGAAGCATTGGCCAATGGGAGTCTACACTTTGGAACCCAACTTAGCCATAGTGTTGTAACAAAAGCTTTTGAAATCAATAACCAAGGCCGCTGCATCCAAACCCTAACTTGGAATGTAGACAATGAAACTAAGAAATCTCTCAACAAGCGTGTGTTTTCATTTGTGCCACTCAAAGCTTCTGTTGCACCTCACACTAAATTCACTTTTCAATGCACAGGTGATAAGCAAGATCCATATCACATTTGATGACTTTTATTACATTTTGCTATTTAATTTCAATATATAGGTAAGTATAAGACAATGGATCTATATGATACATCTAATTTTATAAAATCAATTATCTAGTTGCAATCAAACTAAGCTTATTTGATGAGTATCATGAAACAATGGCAAGTGAAATTAGATCATGATTTTGTAATTTAACACTCAACAGGAACATTTCAAGCAACCGGTTATGTGAAAGAAACATTTGTGTGCCATGTTGTAACCAAAACACAAAAGGAACAAACATACAAATTGGAAGTAGATGCGGAGGTTGTGGGTACCAAAGTATTATTTTCTAAGCAAGAGCTTCGATTTGTTCAACTTAATGATGGAAAACCACATCCGGATAGAAGTGTTGTACAATTGACATGCCAAAATGTATTTGTTGATACATTGAACATGAAGTTTTTGGTGAAACCGCCGTTTGGGTGCAACAAATGCGAAGCCACTTTGGAACCTACCCAGTGTATTACATTGGACTTGTGGCTTGAGTGGCAAACTCCCATGGTTAAAAAAAGCACGTTTTGTTTGGGAAAATTTGAAGTTGTGTATACCAATACAGTGAACCGAGATATACTTGATATGGTTGGAGAGATACACTTTCCTGCCTTAGAACTATCAACCAATCAATTGAATTTTGAGTGAGTGGCACAAAAACTATCATGTTGTGATATGGTTTATAATTTCATCTTGATTTTTTTCAAATAATTTACATTAACTGATAATTTTTAAATCAAATGTTTAAGACTGAACATGAATAAATTCTTAATTTGGTTTACAAAAGTTTTGATACAACCTAATTAAAGATTTTAAAAAAATATATTGTATGATCGAAACCACTTTGTAATATATATACACATACCAATAATGGGCAAAGAAATAACATCAAGCCAAAGTTGATTAAGTGGTATTTGCAATAGTGCCGTCATAGAGCACACTTGTAAAAGGCTTCAAATGAGGATTAAGAACCCAAGTGCCATGCAAGTGAGTTATGCATGGAGCTTCTACAACCACAATCCAAGTGAAGACATCAAAGTCTCGGAGGAGGCTCTAAGCAAATCCAAAGGGCTTACAATCCCATTGAATGAAATATTTGATCTACTTCCTATTCGAGCCACATTAGATCCCGGTGAACAACAAATAGTGGAAGCATCTTTCTATGCTTTTCCTGGCTATTCTGTCCATGCTGTTGCAGTATGCCGGGTACGCAAAAAAAAAGCAAAAAAACAAAACATTTTTTATTCATTTCTCTACTCATCCATCCTCCTTTTACAGCTTCATATTTAAAAATTGAACACAAATGTTTTCTTCTTCTGGGTAATATTATAAACACAATAAAAATCACACATATTTTTGAACTAATCAATAATTGTTATTCAGATCCTACAGATCATAAAATATTGCCAAGGATTTCTATTGATGTATGTGTGTGTGTATAATTTTTGTTTTACATGGTATAGTGGAAGACTGAATAGGTATTAATTGTCTTTATTCTTCAATCAAAAAAGAATTGGCCATTCAATAATACATTCTGTGGGATTTTGTGCTGGACTTGGGGATTTACTCTAAGGAATTCATTAAAAAAATAAAAAAAATAAACAAATCATATAAGATACAATAACTATCATGATAGTTATAAAAATAACTTATTCTATACTATGTTTCATATAATGCATTCAGCTACAACAACAATAAAATTACTACTCACCATTTTGCAATTATTCTTGTATTAATGATCTCAGAAATTCAATACTACAAAGATATATTGTTTTCAATATTTTGTGAACCATTAAAATCAACACTCCAATTTTTTTGACTATTTTGTGAAATCCACATGGAATGCTGTGAAAACATTGGAGTTTAGAATTTGTTTCATGAAATTCATGTTGAAAATTTGGATATATATATATATATATATATATAAATTCCATCCATGAGAAAATTAATCAAAAGCACACAAACATGTTGTAGGTTGAGAATGGACCTGAATATTTTCTTGCTTTGGAGGCTGAGTCATCTATCATCAAATATTCTGTAAACAACATAAGTTTAAATGTTGGGAAAAAGTTATTCAACAAAACCACGTCTGATAAAAACCTTGTGTTGACAAATAAAGGGAAAATTAATTTTGCATTTGAAGTTGATTTGAGCCCAATAATAAGGAAAGGAACCATTTCTATTGTTCCTCTCACTGGACTTTTGCAAGGTGGTACAAGACAACGATTTAATTGTCGAGTAACTCCAGGTAAATGAATGAATATATATATATATATATATACACACACACACACATAATGGTTTTCCTTATTTTAAATGTATGTTGAATTGTTTCTTTTATATATATATATATATATATATATATATTGTACATTTCATCATAATGTATCAACAGTTTCAAAATCACGAAATGATTATCATTGAATTTCAGTTCTTGATAACTGAATAACTCAGTTATGGCTCACACAATGTGAGATCTGAAATAAATTAAAATATTTTTGTTTCATTGTTTTCACACTCAATTCAAGTTGTCGCGTAATTGAATCTAGGAATACCCCTTAAATTTAAGGAAGAGTTCTTCATGCAAGTGGCATATTTTCCACCTCACACAATAAATGTTGTTGGAGAAGGATCCTATCCAAGCATTTGGATTGAAGCTCCTCGTGTGCGTAACCGCCAATTTTTGGGCTATGTAGAACAAGCTCGGAGGATAGTAATTCAAAGGTGGATTGATGACACAATTGCAAAACTTAAGAAGAAGCAAAATCTAAATGTTTTTGAAGTGGATGTTAAGGAGCTGAAGACTAATTTTGAAGAAGAAACCATACATGAAAGTTCTGGAAGCTCAGAAGAAGATGATGAAGATGATGACAGTGATGATAATAACACAAATGTATTGTTGAAATCAAGACGAGGCACAACTAAAATGGTGGAAATGGTGGATGTTAATGATGGCAACCAAAAACATGATTCAAGCCTAGAAATTCATGAACAATCCAACCATGATTCTTCAAATTGTAAGCACAAATATCACCACAAATCTCAATCTCCTACCACGGGGAAATTTTCTCCCATGTCAAAAGAAAAAGGGAAAAAACTTCCATGGAAAAGACCAAGTTTCTTCAAAAGACGTCTTGATGCTCAACAAGACGAGGAGAACAAACATCACCTTGAGTTTGAGCAATCAGATTACTCTTGTGGGCATAGCTACCATAGAAAATCATGGTCTTCCATCACAGGTAATTGAAAACATAAAGAAAGAAAGATATGGGTAATGCATGGTAATGGAACATTCATTTTTAACAATGTGGGTCTATTAAGTAGTAGATAAATTCTTCAAATTTGATAGATGTTTGTATGAAGTAAGTTTTTTTTTGAATTGGAATAAAATTTGAAAATGGTGTGTTTGTTTGTGTGTGTGTGTATGTGTATAGATAGATAACACATTCTCAATTATTGTATTATACAGGTCCCCTTTCAAAAATGCATTCAGAAAAGGTGAAAGGTCTCCCATGGCTTCGACAAAGTATTATGGCAAAGGCTGAGGAAGTAAGGATTGCGAAACTGTACGGGCGCCGAGTGCCAGCTCATAAAACATGTGCCGTGGCACTGAGGGCATCCACTCTTGCTTTCCCTGTAGAAACTCATTTTGGCACAGATGAAGAAAGCAAAGAATCCAACATTTCAGAGGAGGTTTCAATCTGAAATCATCCTTTTCCATTTTCATTTCCTAAAATTCAACATAATAAATTCAAAAGACAAAAAGTCCAAAATAAATAAATTACCCTTGTTTTTGTAACAACATGATAGAGTAACTAGTTTTGTCTCAAATAATTCCTCTTACTAACATGAAAAAAAAAATGATTGAAAATAATATGTGTGAGTGTGTTTATATATATATATATATAGATGCAAATTGTGAGGCATACTAATATCCTGAAATAGGTCTCGGAAGAAGAGAATGAAACTTTACAACAATTGATTGAAGACATTGATGCTGAGGTAGACAAGCTTGTGGTGCTTGAAGGATTCTATGAACCACTACCACATGTGCCCTTCTTCACATTGAGGGATGATGAAGATTTATCCTCCGATGAAGAAGCAGAGGAGCACGACCATAGTAAAGACCTCACATGCATGCACAACCTGCATCGGAAGTCGTGGTCGCCTCTCACGGGCCCTGTTTCTTTGATGGCCATGGAAACGAGTTCCAGAAAAGGCCTACACTGGCTGCGCCACAGTTTTATGGACAAAATGGAGAAAACTAGAGTTGAGAACTTGTACAAGCTTCGGAAGTCTATTTTGCAAAAAGAGTCCACTCTCACAAAAGAAAAAGAGCAACCCAAAAAGAAAACTTTTGCTATCCATAGACCTTCATCCTTGATGAGACTTAAAAAGGTAGCATTTGCATCAGAAGGGATACTAGCTCAAGAACCTAAAGATGATGAAAGAAGCAAAGAATTTGATAAGATGGAGGATAAGATTGATGAAAATATTGGTGGTATTCAACAC